AAAAAAGTACTTCACTGTACTTACTTGAATTAGTAACACATCTGTTAGGACTAAATGGAAGCATATAAACCGCTAAAAGATTGAAAACTACACCAGAAATAGAGAAATTGAACATTTTTTATTTCTCATTTCAGTGATATTTATGTGATACAGTGATTTAGTTTTTGTAAAAAAAAGATGGCGTTGTGTCTCTACTAGCAGACTTCATCTGCTCAGAGGAAAATCTTCATCGAAATTAGACATTCTCCTCTTTCTAAATCGCACTCTCCTGCGCCATATGGCCAATCACAAAGGAGGGTTTCTGCGACAGATGGCCAATGGTGATGACCCTTACTCAAAGGAGGGTTAAGCCTGTTGAGACGACGCTGAGATCAAGATGAGACATGTGACGGAAAGGCTGCGGAAAATGGGAGCAGATATAAAAAAGATCCCTGAAGTCTGCTAATCAACTTGCCATGCCTGAAAAAATATTAAAACAATCAATGTTTTCCATTTAGTTGCTGTCGTTCAACAATTTGAGGCTCAGTTTAGCTCTTTAAACATGCTGGGTTTAGCATTAAATTTGTGCTGAATCAAAAATCTCCACACTGCTGCTCTCATGCACGTAACGTTGAAAGACATTTTTGAAAATGTCTGACCTGAAATTCAGCATGCGAGAAAAGCAGTGGCAAGATTTGTGCCACTAGCGAAGTGAAATCTTCTTAGTGCAGCCTGATCTGACAATGTGGCAGGAAGCCTGGAGGAGGATAAGTCATTCGCTATACAGTACACTGCATTCAATGCAGAGTTTATTTTATTATTTATTTATTGTTTAAGGATGCTTTGAATTAATAGAATCAACACTGATAGTAAATGTGAAAATTATGTCAACTTTTTGGCAATTTGTGGAGACTGATAGCAGCTTTGCACGAGTTTCACAAAAAAAACCCTTTCTTTTTTACAACATTCATCTATTTGTAATAGTTACATAAAATTGAAGCACGTTACGAGCAGATATGGGTCAGTAGTACAGTTACTTGTGAAAACAACTCACTGATGGACGTGCTGAAAATAACAAAAATGTCACGAGAGATTATTTGGCAGATTTTATTTATTCATTTATCAGTTCAAGCCTCTGATGATTTGTTATTCCTAAAATGCACTGAACTCGAGAGCTTTGGGGGAAATTACATTGTGCACACCACGTGATGTTTTGTTTTTTTCCCCACCCTTTTTTTTAATTTAGTCAAATATACAAAGCTGCTCTTTGCAATCAAGGCTTGAGCACTTGCAGGAAGGGGCTTAAAGGAGATAATTAAAAGAACTGAGTGTAAAATGGCAGCTTTGTGAGCAGAGTGACAGAAAGTGAAAGTCTGATACAGGGTTGTTATGAGCAAAACGATTAAAGGAGGGTGATAAAAGGAACAGAGAGAGGAGCAAATGAAGGAAAGAAAGTGTCATCCAACAAGACTTAGAGAGATTATCTGCAGTATAAAAACAAAGTGCACGGGCACCACCTTTCCTGCAGTTCTGCATGCATAGCTACCAAACAGTAATGGAAAAAAAAATACTGGGTTCAACTCCGGAAAATGTACTGTATTTACTTTGTATTTGTGTATAAGGCTATCTCAAGTATAATGCATAATATAAAAAGCATTTAAAAATATATAATCCTCATGTATAATCCTACCCCTAATTTCATACAAACTTCAGGATTTTTCAATCTACATATCAATAAAATGATCATATGAAGATTGTGGTATCAGGTTTTTATTTTAACAACGCATGTTTATTAGCTTTAAATAGCTTTTCGGAGACCTAATTCAAGCACTGTTATCTTGTAGTTACAGTGTGTATTATGATTCTGTGTGTGAATAAACTGAATAAATGTACCAAAAAGGTAATTTGACAACAAATGTATATCAGTAACAACATCTGCTCAGTCATCAAGCAGCTCCTGCAATATCTTGGTTTTCTGTCTCACAGACAAGCAGTGATGCTTCGTGAATCTCTGGCACCAACCGTTTGATATTTGAAGGCTGCAGCCACACCATACTTTATGTCATTTTCTTAGCCTGAAGTCGTATCTGCTACGTTGTCACAAAATACCCATCATTCCTCTGGCTTTCCACCCAGCTTACACAAGCTCCCTCTCACGTTTTGGATAAAGGTTTCCCTCTGCAAGCTTGTTTGGTCCAAGGCTGTGTTTCCTTTTTTCTCCATGATTGGATGTTGCTCTCAGGAACTTCAAGCTCTTTGGCTGCTGCACAATCGTTCGTTTCTTCAACAAACTCAATTATTTTGAATTTTGTGGCAGCATCATGAAACAGAATGAGAAGACAGACAACATTGCAGTCAAATAGGTGGCACTTAACTTTGCTTAGCCTTCGTGTAAGTCCCCATTCTCTTGCTCATTTTGTGTGGTGGAAATTTACTCCCGTGTATAATACGACCAACACCCCCCAAATGTATAAATTATTTTTTTGGTTAAAATTTTCGTATTAGGCCCTGTGATGGACTTGCGACCTGTCCAAGGTGGGCCCTTCCCCTTGCACAGTGATTGCTGGACATGGGCACCAGTGACCCCCGTGACTCAAAATGGAAGAAGCGGGTAAAAGATAATGGATGGATTTAATTTTTGTATTACTCATGAATAAATATGGTAAGTAGAAATTTTAGACACTTTTCTTTCTGTTTCATGTCACTGTAACAAAATTCAAAAGCAAAAACAAACCATAGAGGACACAAGAGAAAGAGAGACATTTTAAATCCATATTTAACTGTAAAGATGCAGATGAGTGGACTCAAGAGGAACTTATGGTTTGAAAAGTCCAACTACCTCCATCTCTTGTCCAACTGCATCCATATATCTGTCTTTTTCCTGGCAGCTGCATTTCTAACATCCTTCTACCAATATACCCACTGTCCCTCCTCTGGACATGTCCAAACCATCTCAGTCAGGCCTCCCTAACTTTATCTCCCAGTTGTTCAACCTGTGCTGTACCATCTTATCCAGCCTTGTCACTCCTAAGGAGAACCTCAACATCTTCATTTCTGCTTCTTCCAGTTCTTTCTCTGTCTTTTTGTCTATGTCTCTGTCTCCAGACCATACAATAATAGCTGGTCTCACCACTGTCTTGTAAACTTTTCCTTTGACCTTTGCTGACACCTTTTTGTCACAAATCATTTCTGAAACTTTTCTCCATCCATTCCATCCTGCCTGGACTCTCTTCTTCAACTCTTTACCACACTCCCCATTTTCTTGGACAGTGGACCCCAAGTACTTGAAGTCCTGCACCTTTGTGACCTCTGCTCCTTGTAGCCTCACTGTTCCACCTGTCTCTCTCTCTCATTCACACACATGTACTCTGTCTTACTACGGCTGACTTTCATTCCTCTTCTTTCAAATGCATACCTCCATCTCTCCAAGTTCTCTTCCACCTGTTCCGTTTTCATTACAGATCACAATGTCATCTGCAAACATCATAGTCCACAGGGATTCCTGCCTGACCTCATCTGTTAGTTGGTCCATCACCAGAGCAAACAAGAAGGGGCTCAGAGCTGATCTTTGATGCATGCCCACCTCCAACTTGAAGCTATCTGTCACTCTTACAGCACATCTCACCACTGTCCTGTTGTCCTCATACATGTCCTGCACCAGTCTAACATAATTCACTGCCACTCCAGATTTCTTCATACCACACCTCCTCCCTCGGCACCCTGTCATATGCTTTTTCTAAATCCATAAAGACACAAAGGAGTTCTTTCTGACCCTCTCTGTACTTCTCCATCAGCGTTCTCAAAGCAAAGATGGCAACTGTGGTGCTCTTTCTTGGCATGAAACCATACTGCTGCTCACAGATAGTCACCTCTCGTCTAAGTCTAGCTTCCACAACTCTCTCCCAGGTCTTCGTCGTGTGGCTCATCAACTTAATTCCCCTGTAGTTGCTACAACTCTGTACATCACCCTTGTTCTTAAAAATGGACACCAGCACATTTCTTCTCCATTCCTCAGCCATTTTCTCACTCTCAAATATGCCATTCAATATTTGGGTCAAAAACCTCACTGCCATCTCATCAAATAATCACCTTTTTTTAAGTGTTGCTTCCACAACGCTCTCCCAGACCTTCATTGTTTAACTCATCAACTTAAGCCCCCTGTAGATGCTACAGAGCTAAAGAAAGAAAATAAGGCTAATTAAAAATAATTCTAACTTTTTTATTCAGCTCACTAATTGTGACTCTGATTATTTAAACAATTTAAAACATTTTGAGCTAATCTTCATGATTCAAGCAAACATTAATTTTATTTTGTAAATTTTTGTAAGATTTTGACAACACTTCCTGTCATGTATGAAATAAGTGAACACACACACACACACATATATATATAAATAAAATACATTTCTCATTGGCAATTTAAAAAATAAATCATTGTAGGATTATAGTTTACCCAATAAGTTAAATTTTATATAAAATTACAGAGGCATGAATCAATACATTCATTCAACCTTTATTTATACAGGTTAATGAGGACTCATATTTTCAAGAGACCTGTTTTAGACAGAGAACATGTAAAGTACAGACAACATTAATTCAACAAAAAGCAATTAAAATCAAATAAAAGAAGTTATAAACACAGTCAAATCAAGATGCCATATAAAACAAGGTAAATACTAAAAATGAGAATATATTTGGATGAACTAAAATACTGGCAGGCAGGTAAGTTAAAATCTGCAAAGACGTTTTTTAAACACCGTAGAGCTTGTTAGATTTTCTACCGAGTTAAAATAAAAAAGAGCAAACATTAAAGAGCTCTAAAGGACGTGTTGCAGTGAGATCAGCAACATTTGAAGACCTGTTTGCTGCTGGTGTTTAATGTCATTAACCAAACTGTCCAGTGAGGGGCGCTAAAGAGTCCCTTTCATCACGTGACTTTACTTTCTTCTTCGCGTGTCCCTTCTTCTGCTGTATGAAAATAAAATAATTTTGATGTGAGGAAAAGATGTGTGCTTCTGTGCGCAAAAGCGTCAAACATGTCGGAAAAACAGCGGACGCTTCCGCCGTGGATGACGACAAAAGATGTTAAAGTCAAAGAGAAGACGCCATTGAAGACTCGGAGGAAGAAGAAAGCTGCAAGGTAAAAAATAAAAGAGAATAAGGAACGCTTGTCAGTTTTCTGGTTCAGCAGAAGTATTTCCGGCTAACAATGGTGCACTGATTCGTCCTCAGAGCTACTTTGTACTGCATGAACGAAGCGGAGCTGGTGGAGGCGGCTGTTTCATGTCTTACCGACGACTCCTGCGACGGTGTGACGTCTCCTGTTCACCAGCAGGTGGTGCTGTTTATCATTTTTAATATATTTAAACTTGTTTTTACTGGAAGTACATGTGTACATATATATTGTTTATGTGTACAGTACATATATCTAACTGTAACAACCCATTGTATAGAGCATTTTGTACATAGACACACAAGACGAAGGACCGGAAGCAGAAAGCTTCAGCTATTAAGCAAACGATGACCGCCCCCTAGTGGCTGACTGCAATACAGTTTTAAATCCAATCCCTCCATGTTTTTTATTATTAACCTTTATTTAACCAGGCAAATCCCACTGAGATCACAGATCTCTTTTGCAAGGGCGGCCTGGGCCTGAAGGAAGCCTAACATGCATGTTTTTGGTCTGTGGGAGGAAACTGGAGTACCTGGAGAAAACCCACGCAAGCACGAGAAGAACATGCAAACTCCACACAGAAAGACCCCAGGTCCAAGCAGGGATTGAACCCAGGACCTTCTTGCTGTGAGGCAACAGTGCTAACCACGGAGCCGTTATGTTGCCTTTTTAAAAATTTTATTATTTTATTATTAACCTTGTGTATGTGTGTGATATACTGTGTGTATATATATATATATATATATATATATATATATATATATATATATATATATATACACACACCTCAGATAATGTTTATTATTGTTTAATCAATACTATACAGCATTACTTATAAAGCACTTTAAAATCAATGCTGTTGGCCAAAGTGCTGTACACCAACACACACAAACAAGCATAAAAAACTATAAAATCAACTTAAACCGTAAAAGTAGTGAACTGTTAAAATTATGAAACAGCAAATGGTAAAACCAATACAAACAAATAAATTAAAAACAGTAAAACCAACATTTCAATCTGAGTTAAACGTTAAAGAGAAAAAAAAAATGTTTTCAGATCAGATTTAAAAACAGGAAGTGAGGCAGCTGCTCGTTCCATAGTTTAGGGGCAGCGACTGATAACGCTCGGTCACCTGATGGTAGTAAACATGTAGTTCTTACCTTGCTACCATATGTTCAAATATGGATTTGTTTTTAATGTGTTTAATTTCAAGGAGTTATTTTAGGCGTTAAAAAGAGTCACACTACCGGTACACTGCTTGACAGTGTGATGGTCTGTTAGTAAGTGTGCAGGTAGGATACTCTTTATTGATCCTACAGTCCTGAATCTCTACTGCACATTCTGGTTCAAGAAAAAAACAAGTTGGCAGCTAACTATATATAAGATTTAAATATTGAACCACAATATATTTGTAATCTTAACAATGAAAAAGTTTAACAAAATGCAAACTCACTCCCTAATTACATTACTTGTACACATTAAATTGTTGGTAGCCCCTGAACTTTTCTCTTAAACATAATAAATATTTTTTTCTGCACACACAGGTTGAAAAGCAGGCAAAGGACACCTCAACACCCAAAGTGAAACTCAGTGTCTCACTGATGACAGCGAAGCCTTTGGCAGAGATTTTGGAGGACGAGTCCTCGGACCGTTCTGTTGAGCTGGAATATGTTTCAGAAACGGACTTGGACGTTGCAGAGGTTGAAACTCTCCCGTATGCCACAAACCTGCAGCATCCTGAGGCAGAGAAGAGATCAGGAGCAGCTCAGGGTTATGGTGGACCCATAAACACTGATCTGAACGCTGTAAAAGAAACAAAACGGACTCCAGAAGGTGCAACAGAAGAGGACGATGCTTTACAGCTTGTGCGGGAAATTTTTTTTACTTGATCAAGCTGAAAGTTCGTTTTTGTGGCAAATTTTAAACTTGTTTTAAAGACTAGTGCAGCTCAAGATTGACATTTACAAGAGATCAGTCTGTATTTGAGCTAAACACAACTCCTCGGTTAAAAAAAAAAAAGGTTTTGTCTGTTTACTAAAAGCTTGGAGAAAATAAACAGGTTTTGTAAAAAAGAAGAAAAAAAAGTGTCATGAGTTCATTATACTGTTTTGCAGGTTAAGTTTAATATAAATAAGACAAACTAAATGAGATTATATTATTTTTGTCACACAGTTCTTCCTACTTGCTCAACAAACAAAAGTACGGATCATGGGGGAAATGGTGGAATTGTTTCCTTTTTAGTGAATAATTCCTCCTAAAACTTTGCGTCAACTTTTAGCAGTTTCACACGTCGCTACAGAGCCAGAAACAGAACATTTTGAGTTGATTCCATACGAAAGGGTTATCCTAATAATTTTGAAGTTTTCAAGGTAAGAACAGTAATGTGTCTACCTGTCGCATATTAAAACAGGTGGAGTGTGGATGCATTCATTCCATCTGATGGTAACTTCTCTGAAGGTCAGCAGAGCTGTTATTCTCAACTGTACTTGCACAGCTTTGCATAAATAAAAACCAGAGGGTCAAGTCTTTCCAGCTCACATATGACTGATACCAGAGTCAAAAGGGAACAACGCCGATCAGTGTCGGTACGATTCTTTACGATTTAAGTGCACTGGTTAAATTAGTTGTTTTACATATAATCGAGTAGCGCTCGTTTTAAAACTTGTCAATGTTATCAGGGATTAAAAGAGAGGAACTGGGACTGAGAAAGATTAAGTGTCTTGATTTGCGTCGTTTTAATTTCTTACGTTTGAGAAAACGAGAGAAAACACAGTTGGCAGCTCAGACTGGAGATGTTGTGCTCTGCACTTCCTGCTCAAATTGACACTGTTTCCAGCGCATGAAGCAGAAGTGTCACCCAAAATTACCGGGCTACTGCAGGTGAGGCCGCATCAATAAGGTCACATGGTGCTGAACCGTTAGGTGGGAGATCAAGGTTTTAAATGATTCACTGAGGTGGTATGTGGAGGGGTCGTCAAAAATGGAGAGGTAGTAACAAAAAGGAAGAACAGACTGTAACCTAACTCAGCTGAAATAATCTTGTTTTAAACAAACTGCATTTATCCCCCTTTATTTCCTTCCTAGCTTTAATCCCAAGTTACATGAGCATTTTTTACATTTATTTTGTATTTTCATTCTTTGTACACACGTTTTAGTCTTTCTATCAATCCTACAAAAGCAAACATCTAAAGAAAATTATGGTAACTATGTGACAAGATAGAGGCACAAACTCTGGGGTGTAAATGTTGTAACTGATGAGATAAGTTTAGTTCAGGGGTGTCCAATCCTTGTCCTCAAGGGCCATTATCCTGCATCTTTTACTTGTTTCCCTGCTCCAGGATGCCTCATTTAAAGGTTGAATTACTTTTTCATGTTCTGCAGAAGCTCGTTAATCACTTGTTGATCAAATCTGTTGTGTTGGAGCAGAGAAATAGCAAAATTATGCAGGATAGCCGCTGTCCAGGACCGAAAACCTCCTGGTTTAGCTGGTAAATGCATAACGTTCAACCCTCCAGTACTACTTTGTATTTTTTAACAGACAGTTTCCAAGTGCTACAGTTTACCTAAAAATATAGATAATTACAAAAACCTTTACTATCAGTCTAGCTGTAACTCAACCCAACAACATCAAGCTCCAGATTGATACAATAAGATCAGCACTTTAGTAAATGGGGCTGCTCCATCAGACATCCATTCATTCAACCTGTATTCAGACAGGTTAATCCCATGAGCCTAGGGGACTCGTTTACAAGAGAGACCTGTGATTTATTTAACAAAGAGTGATGACATCAGTGAATAACAACGACAACAATAGACAGTCTTGAAAGAGGCATACAAATTTTATTATTATTATTATTATTATTATTATTTTACAAATTAAAATAAAATGGCAATCAAAAGGACAGTAAAAAGGAAAACGTAGCTATGAAAACAGCTAGATTATAAGGCGGTGTAGAAAACTAAAAACGGGAACGTGTCTCTTTTACATCACATTGTTACACAAGTAAATAATAATAATAATGTCTTTAAAAAATTAAAGATGAGCTAAAAGTTTTGTTGTTCCCAACAGAGCCGTTCTGTTTCATGACGCCTTGCTCATTATTGGCCAGCAGATGGCGCAATACTAGTGGATTTTCCCATAGATATCATATAATCACTGTTAGGGATTGAGAAATCTCATAAATTTGATGTATCTATGCTTACATTTGTTGAATAAAGTCAGAAGCTAAAAGTGCTCTGTTTATGCATGACTGCATTTCAAAATCACATTTCAGTAAATTTGAACAATTACTGGACTTTAAAATTGCACCATATGAATTAGTTTGTTTGTACGTACCAAAGAAACATTGATTCCTCCAATACTTAACAGTTTTTTGTTGTTACCTCATATATTGAGTTTGTAAAAAAAACAGCTATACACAATAAAGTTTTTTTTTTTAATGTACTTTGCAAACTATAAGGGCCAAAGACTGTTAAATGACAATAACCAGCCTAACGTTGACATAAACCCGTGTCCACCAGATGGCGCCATAGTAAAGCAAATAAAGTAACAGGCAGTCTTTTCTAGGCAGCACGGTGGCGCAACTGGTAGAGCTGCTGCCTCTCAGCGAGCAGGTCCCTGGTTCAAACCCCGGTCCAGGGGCCTTTCTGGGTGGAGTTTGCATGGTCTCTCTGTGCATGTGTGGGTTTTCTTCAGGTACTCCAGTTTCCTCTTTCCCTACTTTAAGTAAATTTCTGACATGGAATACAAGTGTCTCTGAAAATTTCACTGGAAAATTAACATTTTTTTAGCATACTTGAGCCAGATTACTATAAAGCCATACTTTAAATTCTAAAACTTCAAACTTGGGTCATTTATGTTAAAAAAAAAATAAAAAAAAAGATTTAGGTCCAGCTGTGTTAAACTTTGAAAATAACAAAATGCACAATTACATTTGATATTAACAGGGGTTAGGGTCAGAGTTGGTCAGTTGAGTTCACTTTATGGATTTATGTTAATCGAAGTCACTCAGTTATCTTGAGTTGATCAAGAAGTAGAACAAAAGTGTAAAATGTACCAATCAAATATAAGTTCACCAAAGGACTTACTCATGCAAAATATATGTAAGCATATAAGCATGTCTTTAGGACGTCTCTAATTCTGCAGCGTTGATCAAGAAAGCACATCAGCGACTCTACTTCCGCATGGAGGTGAGCTGGTCTGGGAAGCTCAGTCCTCACTAAGCCTGCCATGATAACAAATTTTGCTGGGCGATTAATTGTCTCTGAAATTATTGCGATAAATGATAATATTGTTTGAAATTTAAAAACAAGCCATTTGTGTTAACCACAGCCAGAGTCCTATAAAGAGAGAGTTGCGACACTCCCATAGACTCCAATAGAAAGAATGGAATGTGGAAGTCACGTGGGTCATGCAGCGGCAAAAAGTTCCAAACAGCAGCGGTTCCAGCATTGAACGTAGTTCATTCTCTGTGTTTCAGACGCGTTTTCTCCGGTAAGTTGATGACAATACAACATTTTTTTGCCATTGTGAAGTGTTTGCTGACTGTTCTGTACCAGTTTATCAACACAAACAGTGATGTTGGAAGTGGAAAGATACCAGAAGATTGAGTAGATGCTGGATGTTGTTGAGGTGAAAAGATATAAAGTTCTCATATGAGGTGTCCATGTGTGTTCTCTTATGAGGTGTGTGTGTGCATGTGTGGTTGTGGGCTTGTGTGTAAATGATTGTTGGGTGGCAAAGAAGCAATGAGAAAAAAAAAGAATGACGAAAAGATGCGTTAACAGACACAAAAAGAAAAAGAAAATAAGTGGAAAAAACAAACAAACAAAACAGTTGTGACACAGTTCACCTTCACCAGTGCAGACACCCGAGCTGTGCTTTACATTTTATTTACAAATGCCAGTTAATTTACTTCCATTATTACCATTTAAATCATCACCACTAAACCCCAGCTGCAGGGCCACCATCACCAAAAGCCAAACTTTAAATAGTTCTTTACTTTACTTTCATAGTTAGTC